TAACAAGGTGTACCTCACCCCAAGCATAGCTGCCGGCACTAGGCTATTCTTATTGAGGAAAATCTCCAGATTTGGCGTGTCCCCCAGAAGCAAACTAACTACTCCAATTCCACCACTATTAACGTAAGACTCTTTTTTTACATTACTGTTCCACTCGCAAGTGTTGTTTTGCTGCTTGGCTTTGGCATTACCATGGGACACACCAGGAAACTGGGCAATGGAAAAAGAAACAGCACAGCATTAAACAGCCATCAGCTAAGGGGAAAGTCATCTGAAACCACAAAGTGTTTGTTTTCTCTTGTTTCACAGAAGTCAACACTGTAACTACAGCTGCCACTGTCCTCTTGGGGCTAAAATCGCAACACCATATCTTACCTAGAATATGAAAACTCGGGGTGGGGGCATAGAAGTGAACAGAGAAAACAACAGTTTGCTTCAAGTGCAACCATAAAAGCTAGCCATCCTTTAAAACAAAGATTAATTTCAGCTTACCCTTTGTCAAAAAAAGACGTATGCCCTGGGTGAGAGTATTTTGTGCTGTTGCTGCTCACCATGCTGTTATTAACATTCCCCGAAATGTATGATTTCCGTGATGCCTGGTCCTTTGCAAAATTTCTACAAGCAGCCAATTTGGATTCTAAAGCCTGTGGAAGAAAAATGGGATAAAGTTATTAGCACAAGGAACTGCTCCGGAGTACAAGCCTTGAAATGGCCAGTAGTGAGTGGTGGAACCAGCATGATCTGCTTCAGCAGAACCTAAGCTAGATGTGGGCACGCTAGAAGGGAGGAATAGGCTGCAATAGGACCTAGACAGGTTACAGGGGTGGGCGGATGAGAACAGGATGGGTTTCAACACCGACAAGTGCAAGGTGCTGCACGTGGGGAGGAAGAACCAGCAGCATACCTACAGGCTGGGGAACACCCTTCTCATCAGCGCAGAGGCAAAAAAGGATCTTGGAGTTATTACTGATGCAAAAATGAACATGGGCCGGCAGTGTGGGGACGCGGTCAGGAAGGCCAACCACACCTTGTCATGCATCCACAGATGCATCTCAAGCAAGTCCAAGCAGGTGATCCTCCCCCTCTATGCGGCACTGGTCAGGCTGCAGTTGGAGTACTGCATCCAGTTCTGGGCACCGCACTTCAGGAGGGATGTGGATAACTTGGAGCAGGTCCAGAGGAGGGCCACACGCATGATCAGGGGGCAGCAGGGCAGGCCCTACGAGGAGAGGCTAAGGGACCTGAACCTGTTCAGCCTCCACAAAAGAAGGCTGAGGGGCATCTAGTGGCCTGTTCCAAACTAGTCAGGGGGGACCAGCAGGCACTGGGAGAGTCCCTGTTCCCCCGAGCACTACAAGGAGTGACTAGAAATAACAGTCACAAGCTGGCAGAGGGTAGATTCAGACTAGACATCAGGAGGCGCTACTTCACTGTCAGGGCAGCTAGGATCTGGAACCAACTTCCAAGCAAAGGGTTGCTGGCTCCTACCCTGGGAGTCTTTAAGAGGAGGTTAGACGAACACCTCGCTGGGGTCGTTTGACCCCAGTACTTTTTCCTGCCATGGCAGGGGGTCAGACTTGATGATCTGCTCAGGTCCCTTCCGACCCTACCAACTACGAAACTATAAGCTCTACTGTAACAAAGCTAATGTTTTATCTTTAATGATTTAAAAAAACCTTAGAGTGGGACAGCCAGTCCCAGAAGGCCAGATGTGTTTAGCCTCTACAGCTGGGGTGGGATTTTGAGAAAAGATCTACTCCTATTTAGGCACATAAATAAAGTGGCACCGCTGTCAATGGGAGCTGCAGAGTTCTCAGTGGTGGCAGATGACCAAACAAGGAGCAATGGTCTCAGGTTGCAGCAAGGCAGTTTAGATTAGACATTAGGAAAAACTCTCCCAAGGAGGGTGGTAAAGCACTGGAACAGACTACCCAAAGAAGTTGTGGAATCTCCATCCTTGGAGGTTTTTAAGACCCAGCTAGAGAAAGCCTTGGCTGAGATGATATATTTGGGAATGGTCCTGCTTTGAGCAGGGGGTTGGACTAGATGACTCCTGAGGTCCATCCCACCTTAATTTTCTATGATTCTATGATAATATAAAATGGGAATGGATTGAGGATGCTCAATCTTATATTCAGTCAATGTATCTACTGACCCAAAAGCCCGTGTAGTGGTTAACTGCAGCAACCAATTGTGGCATCAGGAACCTAGCTTTAGGGCCTTTATTTACACACACTGTCCAACTGAAAAAGCCTTACCCTTTACCCAATATTAACCAAACATGATTTGGAAGAGATCCTTAAGAAACTAAAAGTAAGGCTACAGAGAGGAATGGCTCTGAGCTTTTTCTATTTCTCCAAGAACCAAAGCTCAACTCGAACACATCAGAAATGCAAGTACTATAAAACAAGGTGCTTACCCCGACTTTCCGCAGCAAATCCCCAACAATGTTGAGTGCAGATATTCTAGCAGAAGGAGTTAGGGGACTGGTACCAAACCCATTCGGTATAGCTGCAAACACAAATTTATTTTGTTAGATGCTTCAATCCACTTAAATTTTAGGTGCTGTATCAAAGGAAAAAATAAAAAATTTCACTGTAAACACTTAATGTGGCTAGTCCACAATAAGCACTCACTATGTCACAAACAGCCTTAGGAGGAGAGCCTAATTTATATCAGCTAACTCTATACACAGGGTTCTATGTACTCCTCAACTGTGGGGCTAATGCACTACCCACCCCTTCCCAGAGTTGTACATTGGAATGTATTTTCTTTTTATTTAAAAAAATGATTTATTAGTCCTTGTGACAGAAAACAGCCTTCCCAATGGGTTGGGGATATGTACCAGTGCAGTGCTATCTCCAGGGCCACTGACAGATGTTCAAATAAAGGTGCGATGGGTTCTGATCCATGATCCCAACAACTACAACTTGTTCCATGTCATATGTGCATGTCAGGAGGTGCGACTGGGGATCAGATCCTAGATTACACCCTATTGTTGGTGCAAGGGGAGCCCAGGATCATGATCCCGGGTTCCCCCTGCTCCAAGAAGTAACAAGCAGGATGGTCAGTGTGCCCATGGCTGGGAATGCCAGTCACCTGATCAGCTCTCCCAGCCTTGAGATGACACTATAGAGTCTTTCAAGACTCCAGTGTACTCCCATGGCTGGGAGTGGCAGTCAGCTGACTGGCACTCCCAGCTGCAGGAATACATCAAAGCCCTTCCAAACTCTACTGCACTCCCAAAGCTGGAAGCACCAATCAGCTGACCAATGCTGGCCACACATTCAATTTAGGGCATGATGGAAGCTAGCCAAAAAGTTATTACTAATACATTGCATGATAACTCTGTGGCCGATTACTAAGGCTGTGCAAAGCTTCAGGTGTTGATTCGATGGAGGAATTCCTAGATTCTCTTGGGCTTTCCTCAGCTATCATTCCCTAGTCTATTTCCCTTTTCCCAGTAGCATGGCAACAGGTACAGAGGCTTTTCCTCTGTTGGTGTGAGGTCAGGGTGACCTCCTTGAGTTTGTGGAGTCTTGGGTGAGTTGGAATGGGGGTCCATTGCAGGGGCCTCTGGGGTGTCCACCTAACCCTTCTTGGATGTTGGCCCAGGTGTGGGCTGAGGGTATTTTAAAAGAGCCACTCACACAGTGTGGGGCAGTGGGGGGCAGCAGAGATCGCCCCCCCCACCAGGCAGCACCCAGTGTCAGGGCTTTTTTGTTTTTGTTTTTTAATTGCCGGAGCTGGGGCAGACGGACAGCCATTGCCAGGGCTAGGAGAGCAGGCAGGGGATGGGCCTGTGTGATTCAGAGATTGGGCAGCAGCTGAATCTCTGAATCAGATTCAGCCAGATTGATTCGGGACAGTGATTCAAATCACCGAATTGAATCGCTGTCCCGCAAATCAGCCAAATCCAAATCCAAAGCGAATACAAGCCGTTTCACACAGGCCTATTGATTACTTATTTTATCACACCGTTAACTGCATTAACACATGGTCAGGCTACTACTTAAGACATGATTAACTTGTTAATCGTGTCTTAAGCATAACCTCTGCCAGGGGCCCAGAGATCTGCAGAGGAAACAGTAGCTCAGAGATGTGCACTATTTCCATGTATCTTGATAATCCAGGGAAATATAAGGCCCAGACTGTCAGCATTGTTACTTATTTCAATGATGGTCAAGTTAGCAGAAACATCAAGGAATCATATTTATCAGACTATCCCTAACTTTTAAAATGCTCTTTGCACCATTGTTCATTTGTGCCAATCTGAAGTGCATGGACTAGACAAGCAGGTTTAAAAAAAGAATCAAAAATCAAATGCAGCAGCAAACTAAATCCCACACCAAAGGCTATCTTGATTCAATTTTGTAATTCAACAAGCCTCCACACCTTAGTTTTCTTAAAATGCCACAGAAATTCTAGAGTACTGCCAGAACCACAGGGTTTAGGCAAAGTTTGCTGCAAAATGCTCAGGGCTTATGCAATTCTGAGTTTATTCAAGACCCAACTGAGAAAACAGAGCTGGTGTTAGTGCTGTTTGTCAGGAAATAGCTTCCTGCTCCCAGATAATCACAGAGGCTACACAGCATACCTTTTGGGGAAGGAAAGCTATTTTCTGATCCTTTTCCAACAGGCGTGGCTGGCAGAGACAGAGATGCCTGGACAGCTGAATCCATCTTTTCACAGTCTAGAGTTGGAGAACTAGGAGCAGACTTCCTAGTAACTTCCTGCTGCCTTTCCCGTACTGCTAACTCTTGTCGTAAGTCTGGAGATTTGAAAGGGGAAAAAATCAAATATTTCAATTAATGGTTTGATTCATTCTAAAATACACCCATTGCGCTCATCTGCGGATGTACACACACAGCGTTCTTAAACCAAACTGATATTAACTCCTGAAAACCAAGCTGAAAGGAGACTCAATCTTGAGCTAGGCTGCGAATGTAAAGCAAACATACTTTAAAGCTCAAAGAATGGGAACAGACAGGCTTTGGACTATGCAGTGAAGGTCAACAGGTCCTGTCTTTTCAGAAAACGAGGTAAGGGAAAACAAATTTCAGAACTGTGGATTTACCAATGAAAGTGTATGTTGTTTAGGTCTAGAGACTGTACACAAGAATAAGACAGCTGGCCCACTGCCATGACAAGACAGGGAAAAGGGAGCTTCTCAAGCAAGTTAGACTCAAATTGTGCAAAGTACTATAGGTTAATATCAGCATCTTCCACCAGCATATTCCATCAGAAGTGACTGGGTAGCTAGTAATCTTCACAGTACCAGCAGAATATGCTCCTCACAGAAAATCATAGAATTATAGAGAAGTAGGGCTGGAAGTGACCTCCAAGGTCATCTAGTCCAATTGCCTAAAACAAGATCATCCCTATGCAAACCATCCTATACAAACCATTATCTAAACTCTACATAAGATCACCCTCAACCCTGCCGCAACATACACCTAACACCCTAACCGTCCACAGGTAAGGCAGGGAAAAAACAGCAGCCAACATCCTGCTTCTATAAAGGGTTGCCAATATACGCTCAAGAAATCCCAGGAAGAGAGCCATATCCCCTGCTACAGAGGAAGGCAAAAAAACCCACAGTCCATTCCAATCTGACCATGGGGTGAAATTCTGTCATGACCCCAAATACGGCCACTGGTCTGACCCTGAGCAGAGGGGCAAGACATTCTAGCCAGAAACCTCCAGCTTTGATCCCAGTAGAAGCATTGGCACACCCCCGTCAAAGTCCTAAGCCTTGGCTGAAGTCAACATCCATTGCCTCTGAAGGAGGCTCAAAACTACGCTGACACATGTAGCAGACAGGGGTCATCCAGGCAACCAGCAAAGCCCAGAAGCATGGGAATACCCATGGTAGAACACAGGCATAGCTACACCTAGATCATCCCTGATCAGCAGCTGTCCAACCACTTCTTGAACACTTCCAGTGAAGAAGAGTCCACAACTCGTGCAGGGAATCTATTCCACTGCCTCAGGATTCTAACAGCTAAGAAGGTTTTTCCAGATATCCAATCTAAATGTATTTTTCTGAAACTTCAAGCAACTGGTCCATGTCATACTCTGTAGCAAGGGAGAAAAGGTGCTTTCCCTCCTCTTTAAGGCAGCCCTTCAAGTATCTGAAGTCTGCGATCACGTCTGTCCTTAAGTGCCTTTTGCGCAAGCTGAACATGTCTAGCTCCTTCAGCCTCCCCTCATATGACTTGCTCTCCAAGCCCTTTATCATCTCTATTACCCACCTCTAGACCCTCTCTAACTTCTCCATGTCCTTTTTAAAACGAGCCACGCAGAACTTCACACAATACTCCAGATGAGGTTTGTCCAGTGCCGAGCAGAGAGGCACTGTCACCGCTGGTGTCTTGCACCTCATACTTCCATTCGTGCATCCCAAAACCACATTCGCTTTTCATGTGGCTGCATCACGCTGCAGACTCAATATGAGTCTGTGATCTATCAAGACTCCCAAGTCCTTCTCCATAGTGCTGCTGTACAGCAAGGTGTCACCCTTTTTATATCTGTGTTTTTGATTATTCCTCCTGAAGTGCAAGTCCTTGTATTTTTCCACATTAAACTTCATCCCGTTAGCTGTAGCCCAACTTTATAATCTGTCAAGATACTTCTGAATTGTGCTTGCATCCTCCAATATGTTTGCAGTCCTTCCCAGTTTTCTGTCACTTGCAAACTTGCTCAAGACATTTTCTATGTCAGCATCCAAATTCATTAATAAACATGATGAACAGCACTGGGCCCAGCACAGACCCCTGCATGACTCCACTTGAAACCTCCTGCCATATTGACATGGATCTGTTCATAATTCCCTTTTGCTTGAGTCTACTGAGACAGTTATCTATCCACCTTATACTAGTTTTATCTAGCCCATGTTTCTCCAATTTGTTTATGAGAAGGTCATGTGGGACCTTACCAGGAGCCTTGCTGAAGTCCAGATATACTATATCCACAGCATTCCCTTTATCCACCCAAGTACTTATTTCAACATGATTTATTTTTCAGAAATCCATGCTGACTGCTTGTGATTAGCCTTTCCTCCTCCAGATCCATGGTCAACATGGATAAGTAAAAGGGAACCTACATTCTAGCATCAATGGTAGCGCCATGTAGATTGTATTATAAAGTCTCCTTGGACGTCACAAAGGCATTGACAAGTCTGTGCTACAGATCACATGGAGAGCAGGATGCAGTTATCACCCCAAACACAAAAGCACTTCCGGCTACCAACTCCAGCTGTGACTCTGACAGTGGTAGATGATCATAACAGTGATGTTTTGGAGCAGCTGTCCTACAGGAACAATGTAGGAAAAGCCTGCCACCCCCCTTCTCCCCCACCCAACACACATACATTTTTAAGAGTACATTCAATAGGTTTATGAATTAAATTATATGATTGTATTGCCTGCAACAAGAGAGGTCTCAACTCTGGCCCAGGAGGTCCTTTCCAAACCTATGTTCCCGAGTACTAATGAGGGTACTCATATGGCCCATTCTCTACTCGGTGTCCTGAAATCCCCATACAGAATATGTAGTATCACCTAAATGACTAATGCCTTTCACTATGGTCTAGGATACACATCTGTCTCACTCTTTTGATGAGCTGCCTTATTTTTCCTCTATCACAGCCTTAGGGAACTTCTAACAATCTTAACTGAATGTGCTCGGGTTTCTAATACTCTCACTCCTGTTATCAAGCTACATACAAACACACTTAAAGAGAGGTGTGGGAAGAACTTTGAAATTATACATCTAACTTTCAACATTATCTCACAAATTATTTTTACTTGCTGCTCATAAAAATGAGTTTCTTTTATTTTAATGATCTGCAAGGATCTCTTGTTGATCATTCAGATACTTCTGAAGATTTGTCCTCTAAGTTTACATACTTTTTTAATATAATCTTTATGACTATTTTTATTGAAATTTGCAAATGTCATGTAATATTTACTACTCCTTTTTATTCTTTTTTTGTCAATTCTGTGTCTCTATACGTTATGTGTAGATTATATAGCTATACAGATACATACTTATAGTATGTATGCATCTCTCTCTAGATACAGAGATATACATACAGTTTAGAAGTAATTTAGTGCTGTTGGGCACCAATTTTTCAACCACCGATTCCCATTAATCAGGCTATCAGTTGTCACTTACGAGATAATTTAGTTTTATCTGGCCTTTAGTAATGTCTTTCCTTGCACCTTCTATGCAAAACCCTTTTGCAAATTCCTGGTTCACTGATGGTAGCCTAGAATGCATCATTCACTGGTATCATTAATCCCACAAGTCTCATTGCACTCCTTTCTGAGATATCTTCAGTAAATCAGGCAATTCCCAAGAGGATTAGAGAGAGCTGAAAAGAATCCTACAAGGACTTCTAATATTTATTTCCAGGTAAAATCCCGACCTTCTTCCCAAGAGCACGTGCAATGCCTGATCAGCCCCCCCACCAGGCAGCACCCAGTGTCAGGGCTTTTTTGTTTTTGTTTTTTAATTGCCGGAGCTGGGGCAGACGGACAGCCATTGCCAGGGCTAGGAGAGCAGGCAGGGGATGGGCCTGTGTGATTCAGAGATTGGGCAGCAGCTGAATCTCTGAATCAGATTCAGCCAGATTGATTCGGGACAGTGATTCAAATCACCGAATTGAATCGCTGTCCCGCAAATCAGCCAAATCCAAATCCAAAGCGAATACAAGCCGTTTCACACAGGCCTATTGATTACTTATTTTATCACACCGTTAACTGCATTAACACATGGTCAGGCTACTACTTAAGACATGATTAACTTGTTAATCGTGTCTTAAGCATAACCTCTGCCAGGGGCCCAGAGATCTGCAGAGGAAACAGTAGCTCAGAGATGTGCACTATTTCCATGTATCTTGATAATCCAGGGAAATATAAGGCCCAGACTGTCAGCATTGTTACTTATTTCAATGATGGTCAAGTTAGCAGAAACATCAAGGAATCATATTTATCAGACTATCCCTAACTTTTAAAATGCTCTTTGCACCATTGTTCATTTGTGCCAATCTGAAGTGCATGGACTAGACAAGCAGGTTTAAAAAAAGAATCAAAAATCAAATGCAGCAGCAAACTAAATCCCACACCAAAGGCTATCTTGATTCAATTTTGTAATTCAACAAGCCTCCACACCTTAGTTTTCTTAAAATGCCACAGAAATTCTAGAGTACTGCCAGAACCACAGGGTTTAGGCAAAGTTTGCTGCAAAATGCTCAGGGCTTATGCAATTCTGAGTTTATTCAAGACCCAACTGAGAAAACAGAGCTGGTGTTAGTGCTGTTTGTCAGGAAATAGCTTCCTGCTCCCAGATAATCACAGAGGCTACACAGCATACCTTTTGGGGAAGGAAAGCTATTTTCTGATCCTTTTCCAACAGGCGTGGCTGGCAGAGACAGAGATGCCTGGACAGCTGAATCCATCTTTTCACAGTCTAGAGTTGGAGAACTAGGAGCAGACTTCCTAGTAACTTCCTGCTGCCTTTCCCGTACTGCTAACTCTTGTCGTAAGTCTGGAGATTTGAAAGGGGAAAAAATCAAATATTTCAATTAATGGTTTGATTCATTCTAAAATACACCCATTGCGCTCATCTGCGGATGTACACACACAGCGTTCTTAAACCAAACTGATATTAACTCCTGAAAACCAAGCTGAAAGGAGACTCAATCTTGAGCTAGGCTGCGAATGTAAAGCAAACATACTTTAAAGCTCAAAGAATGGGAACAGACAGGCTTTGGACTATGCAGTGAAGGTCAACAGGTCCTGTCTTTTCAGAAAACGAGGTAAGGGAAAACAAATTTCAGAACTGTGGATTTACCAATGAAAGTGTATGTTGTTTAGGTCTAGAGACTGTACACAAGAATAAGACAGCTGGCCCACTGCCATGACAAGACAGGGAAAAGGGAGCTTCTCAAGCAAGTTAGACTCAAATTGTGCAAAGTACTATAGGTTAATATCAGCATCTTCCACCAGCATATTCCATCAGAAGTGACTGGGTAGCTAGTAATCTTCACAGTACCAGCAGAATATGCTCCTCACAGAAAATCATAGAATTATAGAGAAGTAGGGCTGGAAGTGACCTCCAAGGTCATCTAGTCCAATTGCCTAAAACAAGATCATCCCTATGCAAACCATCCTATACAAACCATTATCTAAACTCTACATAAGATCACCCTCAACCCTGCCGCAACATACACCTAACACCCTAACCGTCCACAGGTAAGGCAGGGAAAAAACAGCAGCCAACATCCTGCTTCTATAAAGGGTTGCCAATATACGCTCAAGAAATCCCAGGAAGAGAGCCATATCCCCTGCTACAGAGGAAGGCAAAAAAACCCACAGTCCATTCCAATCTGACCATGGGGTGAAATTCTGTCATGACCCCAAATACGGCCACTGGTCTGACCCTGAGCAGAGGGGCAAGACATTCTAGCCAGAAACCTCCAGCTTTGATCCCAGTAGAAGCATTGGCACACCCCCGTCAAAGTCCTAAGCCTTGGCTGAAGTCAACATCCATTGCCTCTGAAGGAGGCTCAAAACTACGCTGACACATGTAGCAGACAGGGGTCATCCAGGCAACCAGCAAAGCCCAGAAGCATGGGAATACCCATGGTAGAACACAGGCATAGCTACACCTAGATCATCCCTGATCAGCAGCTGTCCAACCACTTCTTGAACACTTCCAGTGAAGAAGAGTCCACAACTCGTGCAGGGAATCTATTCCACTGCCTCAGGATTCTAACAGCTAAGAAGGTTTTTCCAGATATCCAATCTAAATGTATTTTTCTGAAACTTCAAGCAACTGGTCCATGTCATACTCTGTAGCAAGGGAGAAAAGGTGCTTTCCCTCCTCTTTAAGGCAGCCCTTCAAGTATCTGAAGTCTGCGATCACGTCTGTCCTTAAGTGCCTTTTGCGCAAGCTGAACATGTCTAGCTCCTTCAGCCTCCCCTCATATGACTTGCTCTCCAAGCCCTTTATCATCTCTATTACCCACCTCTAGACCCTCTCTAACTTCTCCATGTCCTTTTTAAAACGAGCCACGCAGAACTTCACACAATACTCCAGATGAGGTTTGTCCAGTGCCGAGCAGAGAGGCACTGTCACCGCTGGTGTCTTGCACCTCATACTTCCATTCGTGCATCCCAAAACCACATTCGCTTTTCATGTGGCTGCATCACGCTGCAGACTCAATATGAGTCTGTGATCTATCAAGACTCCCAAGTCCTTCTCCATAGTGCTGCTGTACAGCAAGGTGTCACCCTTTTTATATCTGTGTTTTTGATTATTCCTCCTGAAGTGCAAGTCCTTGTATTTTTCCACATTAAACTTCATCCCGTTAGCTGTAGCCCAACTTTATAATCTGTCAAGATACTTCTGAATTGTGCTTGCATCCTCCAATATGTTTGCAGTCCTTCCCAGTTTTCTGTCACTTGCAAACTTGCTCAAGACATTTTCTATGTCAGCATCCAAATTCATTAATAAACATGATGAACAGCACTGGGCCCAGCACAGACCCCTGCATGACTCCACTTGAAACCTCCTGCCATATTGACATGGATCTGTTCATAATTCCCTTTTGCTTGAGTCTACTGAGACAGTTATCTATCCACCTTATACTAGTTTTATCTAGCCCATGTTTCTCCAATTTGTTTATGAGAAGGTCATGTGGGACCTTACCAGGAGCCTTGCTGAAGTCCAGATATACTATATCCACAGCATTCCCTTTATCCACCCAAGTACTTATTTCAACATGATTTATTTTTCAGAAATCCATGCTGACTGCTTGTGATTAGCCTTTCCTCCTCCAGATCCATGGTCAACATGGATAAGTAAAAGGGAACCTACATTCTAGCATCAATGGTAGCGCCATGTAGATTGTATTATAAAGTCTCCTTGGACGTCACAAAGGCATTGACAAGTCTGTGCTACAGATCACATGGAGAGCAGGATGCAGTTATCACCCCAAACACAAAAGCACTTCCGGCTACCAACTCCAGCTGTGACTCTGACAGTGGTAGATGATCATAACAGTGATGTTTTGGAGCAGCTGTCCTACAGGAACAATGTAGGAAAAGCCTGCCACCCCCCTTCTCCCCCACCCAACACACATACATTTTTAAGAGTACATTCAATAGGTTTATGAATTAAATTATATGATGTTATTGCCTGCAACAAGAGAGGTCTCAACTCTGGCCCAGGAGGTCCTTTCCAAACCTATGTTCCCGAGTACTAATGAGGGTACTCATATGGCCCATTCTCTACTCGGTGTCCTGAAATCCCCATACAGAATATGTAGTATCACCTAAATGACTAATGCCTTTCACTATGGTCTAGGATACACATCTGTCTCACTCTTTTGATGAGCTGCCTTATTTTTCCTCTATCACAGCCTTAGGGAACTTCTAACAATCTTAACTGAATGTGCTCGGGTTTCTAATACTCTCACTCCTGTTATCAAGCTACATACAAACACACTTAAAGAGAGGTGTGGGAAGAACTTTGAAATTATACATCTAACTTTCAACATTATCTCACAAATTATTTTTACTTGCTGCTCATAAAAATGAGTTTCTTTTATTTTAATGATCTGCAAGGATCTCTTGTTGATCATTCAGATACTTCTGAAGATTTGTCCTCTAAGTTTACATACTTTTTTAATATAATCTTTATGACTATTTTTATTGAAATTTGCAAATGTCATGTAATATTTACTACTCCTTTTTATTCTTTTTTTGTCAATTCTGTGTCTCTATACGTTATGTGTAGATTATATAGCTATACAGATACATACTTATAGTATGTATGCATCTCTCTCTAGATACAGAGATATACATACAGTTTAGAAGTAATTTAGTGCTGTTGGGCACCAATTTTTCAACCACCGATTCCCATTAATCAGGCTATCAGTTGTCACTTACGAGATAATTTAGTTTTATCTGGCCTTTAGTAATGTCTTTCCTTGCACCTTCTATGCAAAACCCTTTTGCAAATTCCTGGTTCACTGATGGTAGCCTAGAATGCATCATTCACTGGTATCATTAATCCCACAAGTCTCATTGCACTCCTTTCTGAGATATCTTCAGTAAATCAGGCAATTCCCAAGAGGATTAGAGAGAGCTGAAAAGAATCCTACAAGGACTTCTAATATTTATTTCCAGGTAAAATCCCGACCTTCTTCCCAAGAGCACGTGCAATGCCTGATCAGC